CCCCCATTTTGTCTCTCTGGGGAACACTTTGCAGGAGATGAAAGAGAGTCCCTGCTTTGCAAAGCACATGGACAGCTCCCACAAGGAAGCAACACCACAGTTCATGTGGAAGTTTGTGGGGTTTTTTCCTAAATAGCTGGAGAAAACCAAAGGCCCCACAACATCTACTTGTACATGTCAGGCTTATCGCACATGTTAACATGCAAGACTAGCTTAGCTATCAACAGTTAGTGAATCCAGCCATCCAACATGCAAAACCTTGGCCAGATCTGTCAACATCTGGGACCAGACACGTCTCTTAAATGCTGTTCGAAAATTGTATCACAATAGGAAATGTAGTGATAATGAAATGCAGAGTCTGGTACCATTCAAAATTCAGCAGCTGTGGTATTTGCCATGGAGCTGAACTCCCAAGTTTAAGCAGCTGGTGCTACAAAGTGTCTATTGTAGCTCAGCAAAGAAATTAATTGCAGAGAGAAGAGGAGATGATCCTTCTGTGTATGACCATGGCTAAACCTGCCATTAACCACCCCTAACTGGAGCTCTTCCCCCCTTCTGTGGTGCTCTCACCTGTAATACCCATTCAGCTGTTTATTTTGTCCTAAGGGGAAGTCAAGGTGGCCGCCATGGATGGTGGAGATATTGCCAGCAGTGCAGCCACCTCCTCCTCCAGTCACTACAGACCGATGCTAGTCTTCATGCTGGTTTTTGCAGTACTCTGGGATGCCAAACCTGTTTTCAAACCACAGATGACTATCATCCCTGATGGCCCTTCACCACCAGCTAGGAGAGCACTTTTCTGAAAGGTCTAAAGTCATCCACAGTTTAATCACCTGAGCTTTCCACTTCTTCTATCTCATATTCTCTCCAATTAGTTTAATGTGAGTAATTTCAGCTGTTCATGGAGGAATTGGGAAGACCTTGATCAAATAAGCCTTTCTTTCCTCTCTGCCCATCAGTCTGCAGCCTCCTTGCACAACACCTCAGGCCAAAGTCAAGTACAGTGAATACTTTTCCTTTCACTTGCTCATATTTCACTTTCACAATAAAACTCACATCCACATCACTGCTCAGGAAACCACATCTTCCATCAGGGCAAGCCCTGCCTCAGGCTACTTTGCCTGGCCCCATTTGGGTCTCCAGAAAGGAACCAGCTCCTGGCCCGGTCAGATTCTTGCTTCCCAGTCAGTGCTGACAACACACACCAGCTGCATCCAAGCCAGTCCCAAGCAGCCCTCCCAGGCCTCATCTTCTGTAATCCTCTAAGACTCATTTGGAATTGTGGGGCTGTGGTAAAAGGGAGATGGAAGAAAAGAGAGGTACAAGTCCCTTGAACTGCACAGAGAAGCTTGCTATCTAAAGGCATTTGATTCACTCAGAAAGAAGAGGTGAATTTAAGGAACCCACAGCCGAGATGTTGTTTTGCTGAGTTTGAAATCTCATTTTTATGCTTATCTCGTGCAAAACTGGAAATAACACTGGCCACACTTAAAACCTACAAAGGGGGAAAATCGTAACAGCCAGTGAAAATGGAAGGAAATTTGCTACAGAAAGCATCCTTCAGAAAAACAGAGAAACACAAGCACTTTCAGAGTGAAGCCAAACCCCTGCAATCTCCATGAAGGCTTGTTCAACAGCACAGGTACAGATCCCATGGCTGGAGATGATAGTTTCTGTAGGTCAGCTGGTGTGAGCTTTCCCTAATCTGCTCCAGGGCAAACTCCACCTACAGCTGCAACTCTTCAGGGACTGGCGACTCTGGGCAGGCAGCAGCCTGCTATTTCTCTATAGAGGTTCACAGAGCTTTACAGTACTAGCACTACTTTGGATTCTCCCTCTGATCAAAAATCAAATCATTGAGAGGAATAAGGAATATTTTTCTAAAAACGGGTGCTAATAGCTGAGCATGGTCCCATCTCTGATCTGACCATATGGAAATAAAACACAGAGACCTCACTACTCCAGAGAATCAGATCCTAAATCTTTGATCCTGTCTTGAGTTCATTTGAAAGTGATGAAAGGGCTCTGAGGATGGAGTTGTGGCTCTAAAATTGAAGAAGTGCTATGTTTAATGTGTTATTTTGCCAACTTCTCCAGGTACGGCAAGGGCAGCTCAACATTACAGCCCCCAGTGCACTTCTGGCTGTTTGTGATCACACCCAGTGGAAATCCCTCCAAACTGCTGGTGCATTCCAAATAAACAGGTCCAATTAGCAAAGCTACAACTGCAGCTGAAACGGTGGGGAAGGACCATACCAGCAGCCAAGCAGGCAGATAGGAGGAGGACAAAGCTTCCAATAGGTGATGATGGGCAGGTGGGAAGAAGTAACTGTGTCAGCTGGAAGAGAAATGTGAACAGAGCCTTATACTCCCTCGGGTAAGCAATTCCCAGGAGGGGTTGCAGGAGCAGCCCCCAGCCTCATGTTAGCACTTTATTTATAGCATTGCCTTCCTGTTCATAACCTTTCCAACTGTGAATTGCAATTTTTCCTCCCCCCAGCATTATGGTGATGGTTTGGAACATGGAGATGTTTGGAAAGGGGCAATTTGGCATCGGGAGTCTAAAAAGCAGATACAGACGACATCCTAAATGTATCTTTTATGAGTTTGGAATGATTCCTTTAATTTAAGCTCAGAGTGTGTGACAGCTTCTGGTAGTGCCGCCAATAAGGAAATTAAACAAAAAAAATCAAGAGGTTCTTGAGCATATGTAGTCTTAGAGATCTGGATACCTTGCTTTCCCTCATGCCACTTTGAACTGCTTACCAAGTGCTTCCCAAGGAAAGTGCTCCAATAATTTTCAATTGTCTCTTTACCACATATGCCCTCAAACCCCAACATACTTCCAAATTCAAGGCTTATAAAAAATTAAATGCTCCAATAATTCTAAATTGTGTTTGTTCAGTGTTACTGGAGCCTGGCCATTCCTTCAGTTCGGGGATTTTTGTTTTGTTTGCAGTGTGTGGAGGAAGAAATACTGGAGCCTGGCCATTCCTTCAGTTTGGGGATTTTTGTTTTGTTTGCAGTGCGTGGAGGAAGAGATGCTTTCTATTAGTGCTTCAAGCTGGAAGCTGGTCAAACAGCATCATAGCAGAATGATTCAGCAGCCTCTGAGCTGATTCACAGTGTATCATAAAATGGGATTAGGAAAACAACAATGCTTGAAGGAAAAAAGAACCCACACAAAGAATCACAGCAGGAGAACAATACCAGAAAGGAACAGAGGGGAATTAATCCTCCCTTGGCTTCGGAGAAGCAGGTTGGATGACCTAATAGATGGCTTTCAATGCCCTTCATTCCCCACAGAGTCGCAGGGTTCAGCTGCCTGGATTCAGCCACCACAGCTTAAAAAATGGCTCTGCATCGACTGAACCACATCAAGTGTTTCTGCATGCACACCCACAGCCTGATCTCACTTATCTGAGACCATGGTCCCCCCCAGCACTGCACCCAGACGCTATTTCACAGCGGGCAGGAGCTTATGCAGAACTAGTGGTGGAAGTCCATGACCATTTAGGACAGGATGCAATCTTAGGCTGTGAGTCTTCCAGTTAGAAACAAAAAAAAGTGTTTTCTGAGTCTTACTCAAGGAGACACATGCACACAGCAGTATATTAAAGGAGCAGAGGTGTCAAACCAAGTGTATTTCCTAACACTGTCCTGAACAGGAATGAAATTTAACATGTATTTCATGATCTCCTGAATCAAAGTATCATTGACCACCTATGGCCAATGCCAAGATGGAAGGGCATAATTTAAAATCTATTCTCTGTGAATCTGATGATCCTATTGACAACCTTGTTTTACCTGTTAAAACTGCAGCCTTGGAGTGACAGAGGAAGGCAGGGACTCTCTCAGGAGTTTTACTAGATCAGCAGTGGCTGAATTACTTCTTTGCAGAACATAAAATCACAGCTTCATGCAATCGAGGAAAATCAGACAATTATATCACAATTTGAATAAAATAGCCATATCCAAAGTTTGGTAGGGACACACAAAAACAAGGAGGAAAAAAGAAAAATCCTGTATGCCACATTTTCCTCTTGTAGACTGAAAAAATGATAAAGTGAAATCTTGTTTAACTCGCTGCAGGGTGCCTGGAATTCTATAGAAACCACTGCAACTTGTGTCCCAGTGGGGAATAACTGAAGCACGAGATCAGAAATCATCCATATCCTAACTTGCAGTGACTGGTGCTGTAAAAGGAAATGCCAAATAAAGGCTTAATGTATAGAAAGATGGCAAATAACTGTCTGGAATTCTGAAATAAGAAAGCATAAACCAATTCTCTAATCACATCTAATCAAAGAACACCATCAGTTGCTAAAAAATTCTAGGAAAAACTGGCTATCAGAGACATGGTGGCTTGGCTTCCTTCAGTCAGTATTGTTTTGGGAATATTTCAGCCTGCAGAATTTAATTCCCTGTTATTACATCTGAGCCTGGAGGTGAAAATCATAAATCAGAACCATTCATAACATGCAATAATGGGGTGAAATACTCATAAGGCAAGTTACATGATGAAATCCTTTGGGACTGTGTGTAACCCTTACAGTCCTTGATGATAGCATTAAAAATTCTTCTACCACTAACATCTATTCTTCCCTAGTTCCTATACTAGGCTTTCTTTCTTCTCTCCTAACATCTCCAAGGTTTTCTGTCATATGGCATTCCTTCCAGCCTTCCTCCCTGTTGCCTTAAATATAAGTTTAAGACAAAATCATAGGAAAGCATTCCATGCTTAAAAAGATGGGCAGGTTTTAAATTACACTGTAATTACTAACAAGGGCTTTTAATACCAGAGGAGCTTTCCCAGGGAGTTTTGTTCTGATTTCAGGACCCTCATAGTTTTTATAGAGGGCTGTTTGGTCCCATTTATAGGGTGGTTACATTTTGAGTAATAAAGACTGCAATGCTCTAAAATAAAATTTCACTGTCCCCACCCTATTTGCCCCTCACATAACTGAGTTTAAAAAACTAAATTTCCAACCCATGATGTGTTAGAGTTTTGTTTTCTGAGTAACAAGACCAATCATGTTTCCTCTGCTTGAGGTCTCTCTCTTCTCTTCCTTTTCTTCTAGGTCCTCTGGATCCACACTGACATAGAAATATCCCATGATGGAGAAAATAATGCACACAGCAAAGAGGAGAACAGTGAACAAGACAAATTCAGCCCACTAGGAAAGAAAAAAGAACAGCAGGTCAGGAGACCCCAGACACTCAGTCCAGAGGATATCTCTGCATGTTCAAGTGCTTTTCAAAGAGCTGGGTGAGAATTATGTTTTAGTTTCCAAAATTGCTCACAGGATGGAAAATTTCTCATCCTGTTTTCTGGTAAATGCAGGTACACATAATGTAATTATAAATATGTGATATACTTTGAAACAAACCTGGTAGATTGAGCTAGTCTCTTTAAACCTTTTCTTACAAATCTGTTCTGATTGGAACATATCTACCTGGGCTTTTTGCCCACAAGATGCTTTAGGGAGAGGCTGTTTTGTGTTATCCAGAAATAAGCCCCAGTTCACACCTTCATGGCATCATCCCAGAAGCTTAGTAGCCTGAATTAAACTACCTCTGCACCACCACCTCCCCACATAAGCCTCACATCTTAGGGTTGCCACAAGCAGCTGGCCTGGAATGATTCTCAAGTGAGATCCTTGAGGAGTTTTACTGCCCATTGGTCTGGTGGTTTCTGGTTAGCAGCTCAATGCGTGGCTGGCATTGAGTCCAGGTTCCAGGTCCAAATACAGCCAGCCTGCCTGGAGCTGAGCTCCAGCAATGCTATCAGTGCAGGTCACTGTTATTTACTGCCACTGGGAGGCTTAGGGAGGGTCACTGCTCTACGGGGCAACACTGCTGGCGGCCACACAGAGCACTGGCTGGGAGGCAGCTCGGAGTAGGCTGCCATCACTCAGGTGCAGAAGCCTAGGACTGTGCAGAGAAGCACCAGAAGCCTGTTTTAAAGCATTGCCTCTGTTTTAAGAGTCAAATCATACCTGTGCCATTGGTGCAGCCTCAGCAACAATGAGCACAAGGGTATTCCCAACAGCCACCGTGAGCAGCCAGCCTGCCTGCAGCACCGACTTCATGCTGGCTGGAGACTGAAAAGAGGAGAAGGGCCTGATCAGTGGGTATCATGCTGTGCCCTTTGGCCCTGGTTCACCCTGTGATGTCCTGCCCAGTGTAGGTGTCAGTGGGCTCAGCCTAGGAAGAGATGGTGGAATTTCCTCTGTGCAGAGTGGTTAATCTCTGTGGTTAATCTCAACAGCTGCATACAAGGAGCTTTCAAAACATGGACAGGAGGACACATGAAGAAGCAGAAGATGCTGTTGTTGCAGAGCTGAATCCTGATCATCCTCAACCTGCATCATCTGAAATTGTACGATCAGGGAGTCCAAGGAGTCACACAAACCCTGCAGCTTGGAGTCTGGTGCCGTGTGGCTGCACACCTTTGGAAAAGA